GACCCTTAATGCGTAAACGTAACACTGATCTGGGAAACTATGTACTAAGCCCAGAAGAAGTAAAATTGCTCACAGCCAAGCAACTCCTTCAATTCATTGAAGACATAGGATTTAGCAGTGAACTATAGCCATAGCAGCGATCACAATAGATCTTACAGGTCACAGTGATACGGGTTTTTCTAGACCTGCATACTTGCTTGCACAAATTTAAAAAAATCGTTGCACTGCTGAATGAACAAACAAAGGTTTCTAACTTACCTATCTTAAACATTTTTAAGCCTGCTCCTTAATAACATACAGCCTCGCAATGGGTCGTTTGTCACCTTCACGATGGCCAGTGGTTGGTTGCGTAGGCAGGCGTTTCGCAGCGATTTGTTGATAATTTTACAATAAATGGCTTCATACGTAAGGCGGTGATTAGCCGCATGTTTTATCGCAAGACGTCGTCGCCCGCTACTGAAGTGGGGAGTAGTTGCGTCAGCTAGTTTTATAAATAGCAGCTCTTTTGGCTCACCGCATCTGAGGATGCCTCGTGTAGAGGCGAAACATGTGTAGTATTATCGACAGTGGTGTGTCTTTCCTAGTGTAGTGGTGATGGGATTAGTGGTGACGGAGATTGTGCACGCAATTGAAGGAGGCTAGGAGGTGCTCTTCAAACTAGTTAAGACAAATCATTTAATTTTATTAGGCGTATCTTAGCGAATGGATTTTTAACATCGTCAATCCATCTAATCTTTTATTTTCCAGGTAAAATTTTCAATTATGATAATTGACTGATTCGCTTGGAATAACTAAACTGCAAAATAGAATCAGATGCCTTGTTATTCCTTCTACAATTCTCTGCGGTAAAATTTTATTTTACCTTTTTAGATGGTGATTTCATAAGGAGGAATATTTAATGTAAATCTTAGATGTGCCGTATTTCATAAAATAAATACGTACATAACAATGCATTACAAAACTACTTAATAAACACTTTCTAAAATAGCATCGCGTTATTTTAAGTTACTATAAGTGAATAAAAAGATTAATTATATTTTTATATTGTCACAACCGTGAGAAGAGCCATGGTAACACAGTAGTTAAGTGCTCGCCGTAAATATTTCTAATTACGCGAGCGATCTGGGTTTGTCCCCGAAGGCATTAATAAATTTGTTCACTATAAAAGTGCTGATTTGCCACCTGCTCGGCGATAAAGCAGAACATCGTGAAGAAATCTCCATGCCTGAGAAATTAAAAGAAAATTAAAAACCATGTGGAGTCCGTCAACAACACGCACTGGGCTACCCCGGCTAACTCTACAGTTTAGTACATTATCTTGCCCTCTCATAAAAGCTTTCATACAAGTGAGAAAATATTTAGGCTGTAACTTTAAACTTTTACTTGTGTAACCGTGTAGCATACTTGTCAAAGCAGTTCGACACTACGCTGCAAATCTTGGGTTCACAACTCAGCGAGCCAACATTGTTGTTTAAATATAGTTTTTTTTTCGAAAGCTCTGATACGAGAAAAAAGTGTTTTATGATAAAACCCTGAACACTAACCCTGTCTTCTAGTCTACTTGCGATTCTTTACTTAAGCGTTACATCGAGCTTAGGTGGGATGAGTGAATATATATGGCAGTATTTCTATAACATCTCCTGCACAGTTGATGGCTTCCCATAAAACTCGGACGTTGTAGCGTAGTCAAAAATAAACTAGAAGTTTGTCACCTGGTACTGATAAATGTTTGTAGTTTATGCAAAAATAGCGTCGTCAATTGTATTAAATGTCTGAGTCAAAACTCTCTTTCTCTCTCTCTCTTTCTTTCTCTCTCTCTCACACACACATATTATGTATATATATTATATCATATCAAATAGGAAACTGACGAGATATCGTAGGACTATTACGTAATTAAGTAGGATATTTAATACGTCTGAAAACATCGACTTTATGTTGAAGCCATAAAACAAACTTGGCGAGTTCGTCGTCAAAGGGTTTAATGTTTGCTAGCGAAAATTACATTAGTTAAGAGATCACACAACTTTCCCTATCATATTAATTGCGTACACAGCTCATATTAATTGAGTATGAAGAATATTCTGAAGTAAGTATACTATTAAAATCTTATAATGGAGTAGTGTAGTTGTACCACTTCTAGACCACCTGAGTCAGACGTGGTTCAACGACGTTCGTAGACGCCCGATCCTAAAAAAAAAAAAAAAAAAAAAAAAAAAAAAAAAAAAAAAAAAAAAAAAAAAGGTTTTGGCATGCTCTGATCACGAATCCGCGGTCCATTTTTGTGTAGAATGCACGGTTCCGGCGATGTGTAGATCAATTAGCTAATATCTAATTGATATCCGGTAAGGGCCTCCACCGTCATTAGCGTCCCATTGTTGTTCCTATTTCTATTGTTCTATTGTTCATTAATCACCTTCATTGCAGCGTGTGCGTCGACTATATCAGTGCTATTGTGTTATAGTTCTTTGTTCCTAATTATACAACGCTAATCTGAATCATCAATAAAACACATTACATAATTTTGTTACAATTTTTATTTATAAAATACAAAATCTTATTAATTATTATCTATAAAATAGGAGCGAAACATCTCATCCACTAAAATATCGTTGTACAATGTGTTCCTTGTAAATATACTCGTAAAACTATGTATTGAACATCCTTGAAACTTATATAGCAAATACATTAAGCAATATTCGCCACAAACTGAAGTCCACTCATTCTGAATCCTATCAACATTCCAGTTCCATCTTTTACAATTCCTTTTTAAAAACTCTAGATGATATCGTACAGGTGATCGTCCATATGAATCAAAATATTGACCGACGTCATTCGTATCGATATATAAAGCTACCCAATGTGACCCTGGTTTATCATCTGTATCCAAATTACATATTATATACGTTGGTACGTGGGTATACATAGGCAGTCTATTAGCTGCATAAACATTATTTTCTAGACTGGGGTGAATCTTTTTCAGATTTTGTTGTACATCTAGTGTATCCATGATATTACTGCTATTAGTAGATTATTACAGTACCTAGCTACTCAATGAATAACATAGGAATGGTCAATTATAGTGATTTCTACATATTAAATTGCATTTTTGTGTTATACAAATCGTACTTGAGTCATTGATCACCAAACAAAACACAATACGAAGAAATGTTGAGATAGGCAACGGAAATGTGAGATAAACTGATATGTTTCTAAATATTAAATTGCGTTTTTGTGTTATACAAATCGTACTTGAGTCATTGATCACCAAACAAAACACAATACGAAGAAATGTTGAGATAGGCAACGGAAATGTGAGATAAACTGGTTGACGCATAAAGTAATTATCAACTCATTACGGAAATACTTTAGATTAGAATTTTTACGTACTGGTGGTATATAAGACCAACAAACGCAGTCATCGAGTTAGTGTACGGTCGTTTGGCTACAGTGGATCTATCAATAGTACATTTGTGTTACTTCAATACACCAAAGGCTATGGATGTAAGTGTTTATTCTATTGACTAAATTACTTTTTTTCTGTTATTTTCATGTGTGTGTATTATTTTATTTAAATATTGTGTATGTATATGATTAAGCCGTGGTAACTCAGATGGTTAGCGCTAGCTGTAAATTTCACAGTACGCGACCCGGGTTCGATCCCCGCCAGCACCAATTAAATTGTTAATAGCAATTTTAAGTGCTTATTACCACGTGCTTGGTTGTGAAGGAAAACATCGTGAGGAAACCTGCATGTCTGAGAAAATTTCGAAGGCATGTGAAGTTCGCCAACACACATTGAGGGAGCGCGGCGGACATTTCCTTGCTCTAAAACCCTCTCAGAAATGAAAGGAGGCCTATGTTCAGCAGTGGACTTTAATAGGCTGTAACTTTAACTTTTTTAACTTTTATGATTAAGTGTTAACAAATTGATATTAACATGATAACTGTGTTGTTGCAGAAATCATTGAGCTTCGATGAAGATACCTATAAACAGTATTACTACTCGCCACTCTCCCCTCAAGAAGAGAGTGATAACCTCGTCATTAATAATAACACATGCGATGGTGGAAAAAGAAAATCGCAATCGATTGATCATTTTTTTGAAGCTGAATAAAAAATAAAAAAGAGGAAGCTGTTATCATCAACCGTAGCACGAGCCGCTAGAGATGGTGTATCATACATTTCTACTAATTCTGACGACGGAGACCAAGCGACGCATCTCATCAAAATTGAAATGTACGATATGAAGAAGCTATCCAAGATTCCAACTACTGATCATTGGAAACATGCTTCCACGAGAATTAAATATTACGTAAAGACTAATAAGGATAGCATCTACGACAATACAAACGCCCTCGTATACAATATAACAAAGACAATAGCAGAAAGTGAAAAAGTTAAAAAATACTTTTTTAACAATGACAGTCATTAGCTGATCATTAGTGAATGTGATTCTGTTTACTTCAATTACAGGAAGACAAGAGCGGAAGGAAGAGATGAGTGTGGCATACGTGTACAAAACACATCATTGAATAACAAAACTACAACACTGAGTGGAGAAGAAAACGAGAAGAGTATGCAGTACTCAAGAGCTGAATATCCATTCTTCAGTTCAAAATCTAGCCGTTTGCTTAGTTTCGAAAACTGGCCTCTAGTTATGCGACAGAAACCTGAAGATCTTGCCGAAGCTGGTTTCTTTTATACTGGCCATGCAGACGGGACCAAGTGTTTCCATTGTGGTGGTGGTTTAAAAGATTGGTAAGATGATGATGATCCTTGGCAGCAGCATGTTCAGTGGTTTAGTCAGTGTGCTTATGTAAAATTTCAACTCGAACAGTGTTTTGTATTAGATTAAATAGAAGATTTATAAAGAAATAAAAAAAATATATTGCATACAATTTGTTTTATTTAATTTTATAACGTTTCACATAGTTACATACACACAAAATGCATTACACATAACACATAAAATCTAACACACAACACATATTATAACCTTAACTACTATAGTCTACAGTAACATTTCTGTTTTTATCTATCTCAATAATATTATCAAACTCAGCATAAACTATACAGTTAATTGTTTGTATTAATGAGGATTCAAATCGTACTTCTATTCTTACACTACCATGCTTTATGAGATTCCAATGAGTTGATGAGTTAGCTGATAAATCAGGAGTTAAGTCAAATGCTAATAGACAGTAACCTTTGCCATACTGTTCACAAGAGATTCCATTTCCTTCATTAAGAAAGTGAATACCAGTTCCCGAGAATAGAGTATGATATGCTGATGTAAATATGCTATTATTAAAAGATGGTTGCAAAGCTTTTGAAGGTATTTGTTGACCATCAATATATAAGCTGAAAGAATTAATACCATAGTTTTCAAAGTTAAATGGATTTTTAGTAAGGGAACCATTAAATGCAGAATTGTTCACAAATCCAATTATACATCTTTTCGGTACCTGTCCTAAAAATATATTATCAAGAGTTTTTCCTTGAACACCCGAAGGAATTGTTAAAACTTTTACTTCAGCTCGAGTAATAGGATATTTAGCAGTGGTAGAAGCTAAAACTTTTTGATGTGCGAGTAATACACTTGGATTAATTCGTGCTCGTCGAACAATAAGAGTTGCGTCCGTAATGCAAACTTTAAACTTTACATCGTTTGACCCAACAATTAAATTAAAACTCTCTCTTGATCGAACCAATTTAACACTCATTTCAACACCATTAATTAAAAATTTATCTTGGTTAAAAATGTCACCGTGAAGATGACCAATCATTTCTATTTCCTTACTTTCACTAATCAATTCCTGTCTTTTAACAAATCCTATGTTTTTACCATCTGTAGAATCCATTTTTCCTGCTGTATCCTCATACCAAAGACTACAAGTAAGATGAGATTGTTTAGCAGCAGGGGCATAGTTTAAAAGGGTTTCCATGTATGCTCGATATGCATAGGTATTATTAGGTGGTGATACAAGTTTTTGGTTTAAATAAACATCAAGTTGACTAAAAAGTGAATGCAGCCAATTATTTACAGGTGCTACTATTGTAGTAGATACCAAGTTAGTTGAATCTTGATTTAATACTTTTGCCTTTATGTGGAGTAATGTATGAGACAAATCTATGTAGTCATCGCCGGTCCCAGGAACTTGAAACTCGATAGGTCCATCATCACCAAGAGATGAAATTGGTTTATAATGAATCCACAATCCATTTTCAATGCTAGTTTGTGTAGACGGTAGTGCAAACAAATCCAATTCTGACTTAACGCACTCGCAAGAATGATTATGAAGGAAAGACATATTTAGTTTGAAAATATATCTTTGATATTTTTTGGTTTTAGACTAAGTTTTTTCGCAGCTTTCACTTTAGCAGTTAATGGTGGAATGAACGATGTCAATCGTTTTCTTTTAGTTTTATACCCAGATCCAGTCATGTTAAATTGATCAATTTTCTCATCAGCCTTTCGTTTTAAAATCGTACTAACTTGCTTTAGACGATCTTTTATTGAGGCTTCCATAGGACGAGCTTGAACCATATCCGATAAAAGTCCTACTCCAGCGCTTAATGCCTCCTTACCAATCACTCGAGCACCACTTGAAAGTAAAGGTAAAACTGATCTGAATAACCCCCCTAAGAAGCTCCCAATACCATGACCGCGTTGATATGGTGAACCCTTATAAATTACTCCAACTCCTGATCCAGCTTGATGTGTATAATAATTTTCATATGGACATTTATGATGATCACGAAGAGAATTCATTATTATAATTTTCGGAAATGTAGTTTAATACACACGGTTCCAAACTGGAATGGTATTTTTGTCCTGTACTCGATCTTATAACTATTTCCAACGTATCGAACTCTCTTCGCATAACAGGTAAGTAGTGAGGTTGAGAGAAAACGTGCATTTTATTTGCACCATAAATGTATTTTGTAGGATCTAATGAAATGACTCTTAATAAAGGAGTCATAACATCACCCACAATCTGAGGATCGATAATATCGCAATATAGAAATAGTTGAGATGGTAACCCTAAGTGTAAATTAGCAGGACACTTTCCAAAATTTCTCTCTAGGAGATTTTTATTTGGTTCATAACCTAGCTGTAAACTTAATTTGGGTGATAATGTTACGGATGTTATATTTTTATCCAATACCGAAATAGACACAAATTTTGTTATTTCATCATAGCGAAATTTCAAGTTCTCTCCGATACCATTTAACACTCTTAAAATATGCTCAACGTTATCATAGTTGGTAGCTGGAATATGTTTTTTGTAGTACACTGTGGATGGCTTATCTTCATTAGGCATTAACATAGATTTTGTAATGTATATAACATTTTCATGGTCTTGAACAGTAAACATGGTACATGGATATTGAAACTCGACAACTCCAACCGACCATTCACCTTCTAATTTTATAGCTTTTGGTAATTTCGTTGAAAAATTTGTGGTCTTGTTATCAGGAAAGTATTCCATTGAACTATTGCTGAGCAAAGTTAAATAGAAACTTTCTTTATTCATATTTCTTTTAAACTAGAAGCTAAAATCCAACTGTTAAATTTATCTGGATAACCTTTCCACTTCACTAATACTTCTTTTCTGTTACCTGAATAACGAGTGTCAATTATTTTATCTATTTTATGTTGTGAGGTGGGGTTGTAAGTGATTTTCTGTAATTCTCTTTCATAAAAAGTACCAATTATTGGTTCATTTTGTAAATCTGTTATTGTATAAACAACCCATGGAGATCTATCAATTATTGAAGATATAATAAATATTTCATCACTCCAATTTGATTCATATCCTTTTTGGAATACATGTTTATATTTAGTTATTCGAACATAATCACCCACATTGAAATTTGGTTTAGGATTTTCTAAAGAAAGTTTTTTTGACCGTCTATCATAAAGATTAGTCCAAACTGTCATAATATTGTTGGAATTTACATCACATGGGCACATCTTAATACTAGAGTGAAAGCTGTGATTATAAGAGTATATTAAATCTTGTAAAACATCTATATATCTATAAGTATTATTATGAGTGAAATAACGCCACATTTTCATTTTTAGTGTTCTTTGAAATCGTTCAACAATACTGGCCTTAATGTCAGGATTGTTAGTGGTATAGTAATTAATCTTCTTGGATTTAAAGTATTTTTGTACATCTTTTGAAACAAATTCGGTACCTTTATCGGATTGTATGTGAGTAGGTGTTAAATTACTTTCAGTAAATATACTTTCAAAACATTCTTTAGTTGTTTCTGAGTTTTTCTTTTTCATTGGTCTTGCAAAAGCATATTTACTAAATACATCAATAATACAAACTATATACTTGAAACCATCATTATATTGAGAATAAGTTCGCATATCACTTAAATCAGCTTGCCACAGTTCATTAATATTTGATAGAATGTACCTATTACGCGGGAATTTTTTTCGAATGGGTTTATGTAATGTGTATGTTTCTTGTGATTTTAACCATTCCTTTACTTGCTTTTTATTCATTTTACCCTTCATGGCTTTTGATAATTTATCAATACTACCAAAACCAGCGGGATTAGATGGATCATAATAAATCCTGTTAATTTCTTCTAGTACGGAGTCCATTTTTCCCACTCAAGTCCTTTACGTATTTTAGTTGTAGACTTTTTATCTCTACTGCACGGTGTAGAAAACTCTTGAACTTCAATCTCAGAGGGTTTGTTCAGATCTTTTGCTTGAAGTTGGTTAATAAACTCACATCTCCTTGGATTTCCAATATAAGTAAGTGGTACTTTAATATCTTTTAATGCTTCAGCAAATAAAAACCCACCCAACCGGATCACTTCTTTTTAGGGGTCTTAGTGAATCATTTATTAAATCAACAATATTACTTCCAGGAATTTTTTCACTATCAATTATGACTGTGCCTTCGTTATCCCAATGTATTTTACTTTTACTTGTTTCAACTAAGTTTAATAATAACTGCCCTTTTTTATGATAAGTTTTTGGTATTAAACTGAGTATTTGAGCTGGTGTGTAAAGTGGATTTTCATCATTTTCTTTACTTTTAATGGATCGATTCTCCTCCAGCAAAGATTCAATATCAACTGAAGTTTTTAGATCTCTATCTTTATTTTTAAAACCAATTTTTGACTCATTTGAATCTTCATTAGATGTATCAGAATAAATTGGTAATTTGAGTGGTTGACGATCCTCTTCGGTAAAATGAAGGTATCTTTGCAGTGTTTGTAAATATAATATCCATTTCTTTCGGTCTTCCGTCTTACTATTCATAATATTTTGCATTTCAATATCTAATCGAGATAAATTACTATTAACCTTATTTTCTTGTTTTAATTTTTCAATCAATCCAGGTTCGATAAGTATCATTTTCTTTGCATTTTCCATGTTAACTGGCTAGTCCACTCACTAATCCACTCAATATTGCACCTAATATTGTTGGTAAGAAAGCCCCTCCTTTTTGTATAATTATATTTTTTCTTAGTTTATGTTTACACTTACGTACTAGTTTACGGAGTATGTTTTTATGTTTATTCAATTTTTGTTTATCCTGATCTTTAAGAGGTACTTTTCCTTGTAAAACGTTATGAATACACTCACAAATACAGTTAATTTCTTCTTCATCACACGTTTTAAGTAATGCTCTTTGATATTTTGGTTTAAGCGTATGCAAAGCGGTTAGCAAATGTTTATACGTTGTGAGTCGACGATGCATCATTTAGCAATGATTTCAATTGTTTGATTCTTGGTGTATTTAAACTCTTTTGTGGGGACGTAGACTGTACAGAAACCATTAAATGGAAAGACATTTGTCTTGATACGACAAAAATCATTGGTATTCTGTTTTAAATCTACCATTAAATATCCATGTGCCTCTAGAGTTGCATCCCTGTAGGCATTTTCAATGAATTTCGGGTTATCTGGTGATACTTGTCTTGCTAAATATCTTATTTGAGTTTTATCTCGAGGGTTTTTAAAATATATTATATAACTTGAGTTTAAAGATATGTCTCTTTGTCCTTTACCCTGATGAAATAAATTTTGTGTTAGATAAAATACACTAAGATTCCTGTGATGACTACCTTTTGTAAATATATCCACAATTCTTCCATCGGACTCTCTCATTAGATCATCAATAATAACAAGATGTGGGTTTTCACCATCAAACATATTAAGATTTGGAATTCCTTGATGATAGTTAACATTTGGTAAATTATATAATGGTTGCATTTCATCAAAGCACCATGTGATCTGATTAAAATCACAATTACATATTTCTGTAACTGATTTTATGAAATTTGTTACAAAATTTGACTTCCCACACCCACTTGGTCCTGCCACAATAGCAGTGAACGGATGGATAAAGTGAAACATAACACACGTCTAAAGTTCAAAGGGGTGAAATAAAAAATGAAAGTGTTGGTGTAAACAATTAATATATATTCCAAAAATTATATAAAACAGAATTATCTGTATACTATTTCTAACACAATTAGTACATAATAATTTTACAATTAACTCAACCTCAAATAAATAGAAACAACAATTAGTACATCATAATTTTACAATTAACTCAACCTCAAATAAATAGAAACAACAATTAACTTAAATTATTTACAGTAAAACAATGTTTAAATATGTAATAAACTACGTCATATTATAGTATTATCATAATTTTACAATCAATATAAATTTTTCTTAAACGCAGACATAAAAGTAAAAATCAACACTTAACGCAGTTTATAATGACCCCAAGCTAATGTTTCAATATTATTATCTAAAATATGTCTCTTTGTGTCATTATATGATAAACCTATCTTATTTAATTTTTGTGTGAAAATTGTGTGTTTAATTGATTTAAATCTAAGCATACTATAATATTGCACTTTTTTATTAAATAGAGAAGACTTATAACTATTCATTGTCATCTTTTTAGTGATACATTTATTTACCCCTTTTGCCTTGGCTATAGTCTTATTCTCTAAGTTAAAAGCGTACATTTTGGATCGTAAACCCACAAATTCTTTCATGATTTTACCATTATTTTCATCTTTAAAAAAACCTAATTTCTTTTTATTTAATTTTGGATATTCAAAAATATTATTTGTATCATAATCTGAGGTATCAAAGTATGATGAAAGGTCAGGTTTTATATCAGTGTAAAAATCATTTGTAAATATATGATATATTAAACTATCCGTATCTGTATACAATAATTTGATTTTACTAAACTTTTTAATCATATAGTTATAATGAAAATCATACATTAATGTTTTTGAAATATCTAAA